AGACAGAGAGAGGACAGATTGAAGTATGTGGGCATGTGTGTTCAACTGTGTGTGCGTGCGTTAGTGCTGCACAATGAATCGAATTCACATCGAAATCACAATATTGACATATGTAATATCCATATTGCAGAAGCATGCAATATTTTAAAACGTCACTCAGCCGCGTGTAACATCGTTTTTTATAGTTTACTCCGCATTTAGTCTTTCCCTCCTCTTGTGGCTGCTTCCACACACACAAAGGCCCGCCCCCTGTCACTCAAGCAGCGCAGTTCCTCCTCCTAGCTGTTAAATTCACTATAAGGTTGCATGATGTTCTGTTCGGTCAAATGCAGTCAATACATTGTTCCAATCAAGAACGATGCTGCTTTCCACTTTGCCTCTTAATATAAATCATGTTATTTCTCGATTCCAACAGTTCACCCAAGTGTTTTGATCTAAATCGCAAGTCAAATCGCAATCTCAATATTTGGAGCAAAAATTCCAAATAACTGTTTTGGCCATATGGTGCAGCCGTAGTGTACGAGCCTGTGTGTGTGGCAGAGTGATTGTGTTTAATAGAGATAAGCAGGTCCGTGCTCTGACCAGATCTATGGCTTATCTTCTCTGGTATTTATAGACTACTGTATACTCCTCCTCTCTCTCTCTCTCTCTCTCTCTCTCAATTCAATTTCAATTCAATTCAATGGCTTTATTGGCATTAGAAACGTATGGTAACATTGCCAAAGCAAGTGATGTAGATAGTAAACAAAAGTGAAATAAACAATAAATATTAACAGTAAACATTACACTCAGAAGTTCCAAAAGGGGTTCTCTCTTTCTTTCACTTTCTCCCTCCCTCCCTCCCTCCCTCCCTCCCCCTCTTTCGCTCTCACTCCCCTCTCTCTTACTTCCTCTCCTTCTCGGTCTCTCTCACAATGTTCACGTCACCCAACAGAGAACTCACAGGTAGTGTCTGATTTCAGCACAGTCATGCAATCTATTCTAGCCCAAATCTCACTCCTCCAAGACTCCTGCTTTACAGGCCCTAGTTCAACACAACTGTCACGGATCCCCCTGGTACTGCTGCTCATTCCATTCACCAGTTCCGGAGGTCTACATCACCGGCTTTCTAGGCGTCACTGATCTGGTTCATTACCAACAACGCCGGACTGTCTTGTCTCATTACGCACACCTGGTTCCCATTCCCCCTGATTAGTATGTATATATATGTGGCCTCTGTTCCCCATTGTCCTTGTTGATTATTGTCCTATGTCTGTTTGTCTCGTGAGTATTGTGTACTGTGCTCTTGGTATTACGGGTCTCGTCCTGTGTATTGTTTAGAAATTGTGCTCTTTTGTTTGGGTTACATCCCTGTGTTATATATATATACAGTGGGGAAAAAAAGTATTTAGTCAGCCACCAATTGTGCAAGTTCTCCCACTTAAAAAGATGAGAGAGGCCTGTAATTTTCATCATAGGTACACGTCAACTATGACAGACAAATTGAGGAAAAAAAATCCAGAAAATCACATTGTAGGATTTGTAATGAATTTATTTGCAAATTATGGTGGAAAATAAGTATTTGGTCAATAACAAAAGTTTCTCAATACTTTGTTATATACCCTTTGTTGGCAATGACACAGGTAAAATGTTTTCTGTAAGTCTTCACAAGGTTTTCACACACTGTTGCTGGTATTTTGGCCCATTCCTCCATGCAGATCTCCTCTAGAGCAGTGATGTTTTGGGGCTGTCATTAAAAATCCTACAATGTGATTTTCTGGAGAGAAAAAATCTCATTTTGTCTGTCATAGTTGACGTGTACCTATGATGAAAATTACAGGCCTCTCTCATCTTTTTAAGTGGGAGAACTTGCACAATTGGTGGCTGACTAAATACTTTTTTCCCCACTGTATATATATATATATATATATGTGTGTGTTTTCTTTTGCTTCGTCCCCGTCGTAGTTCATGATGTACCTTGTGTTGGGTGGAGAAAATAAAACCCCTATTACGTATTCCTGCGCCTGTCTTCAAATCCTTATCTGTTCGGGCAGGAAAATGTATTCAAATGTATTTGTTAATTTTAATAACATGTTAAATGCATTTGGTGATCTATATTAAGCCTTAAGGGGTCCCCCCCCGCTTAGACTCTAAAGGTATAAAAAAAATATATAAAAAAATAATTTGATGAAACAATGAATTTGGCCCATAGAAACGCATTGAATAACTGCTTCCTTCATTCATGGATAAACAGATAGTCCCCCAAAAATCTGAAGGGTTTTGTAGTGTCTGTCCTATATCTGAGAGTTTTATAAGAAAGACCAGGAAACTATTTTTGTTTGTTGATGTATTTAACCCCTTATTTTAGGCACTAAACTATCTCCATATATATTTCCATTCATTTTTTAAAAATTGGTACCCGGCTACCTTCAGACTAGTCTTGTGAGGCTTGTGGGCGTCCTAGAGCAAAACAACTGACGTATGTGTTTGTGAGAGACTCGCCTTTCCATAGAGGGGTCATATTAGTGTGTAGGCCAAACTGTTCAGGCGCTACAGACAGAAGTTGACAGATCAGATGTACCGACTTCAGATGAGTCCCATGACGCTTGTGGGGGTCGTAGAGCAAAACTGAGGACACCATCGTGGTCGTATGAGTTAGAGGGGTTATAATAGGACAGACGTTTCTGTGAGAAGACAGATATTCGGGATATCTCATGGTCTGACAAACACCGCTCTAGTTCTGCCACCTTTCACCACAGATGCGGATGGGCAACATCTGCGGATGCAGTGGATTGAGACGCAGCCCATGCAATAAACTAATATCTCTAGCTGAAACTGACAGATTTTGGGGGGATTTTTTTGTATTATGCTAATTAGATTTCCATTGTTAAAAAGGAACAGACAAGGGACAGATTTATCGTGGAAACTCCCTGTAGCCCCATGATTACACCAATCAAACTCCCTGTAGCCCCATGATTACACCAATCAAACTCCCTGTAGCCCCATGATTACACCAATCAAACTCCCTCTAGCCCCATGATTACACCAATCACATTATTGTAAATCCATGAGGGGAAGTGAGCAAGTCCATACTACATGGAGAAGAGGGACTTCTTCGCAACACAGCAAGTGTGTGAGAAATCTCATTAACCTCTGACCCCTCTCACCTGTGCATCCTCCCGCAGATCCGTGGCCTCCCTGAGAGGGGTGCTAGCAGGGCGGAACGTATCATCCAGAGCTTTAATCCCCGTGTTCCGTAGGGTCACGTACTCTCGCCCCCGCCGCACCCCTCTCCGCACAGACAGACCCCTCCTCTGGGCCTTGCCCCCCCCTCGCCGGTTGGTCACAGCTACATGGACAAATAGGCTGGCGTGGGGCAAGGGGTCTCCCGCCAGACCCAGCAGGGGCACGTTACGGTAGCCCGGTTGAAGGCACTCGAAGGCCACGCTGTACTGGCCAATGAAGTCGTCTCCGATGTAGTCATCGTCCAATACCACGAAGCGGAGGAGCGCCAACTCTGGCATGTTCACCTGGAAGGACAGACAGCAACAAATCATGAGCGCAGGTGCAGCAACAGACAAATTCACAGGAATGTTACCCAATTCTGTTGGACGGTGATGTCGCTCCATTCATTCATATGTTCACCCCGGGCCACATAATATTATCCATGACATACAATTATTAGCACATCAACATTCAGTATATTTGCACATTCAATTTCACACACAGACAGGCATGCACATGCACTCACACGTGCGCACAGCCACACACACACACAGACACACACAGATAATGATATATTAACATTGGGTGGCATCAGTACAAACGGTATTAATCAGACAAATGAAATACATTGGAATAAAACCCCCATGCACATGGTGAGGAATATATGAACTAAAACACACACACTAGCAGTAGGAGGACTTATGGCTGTGTTAGTGTGGGTATACATATTAATTATGAGAGGAGACACAAAGAGCAGATGATTCTGACACATAAACATCCAATAAAACACACCCACAGAAACACACAGAAACACACACACACAGAAACACACACACACACACACAGAAACACACACACACACACACACTGGTCCGCCATTGGTTTCTGGGCTCCCAGTGTGATGAATGTGTTTGGTAGAAGGCCAGAGAGGGTAGAGAGGAGGAGGTAGACTGACTATCCATCACAACCCACTGGCTGTGATGGATTTTTCCATTGTGTTAATGATGACTGATTGATGGATTTCCACGTATTTAGTATACGTTTTTTCAAGATGAGCGAGGAGAAGAGAATCGTCCAGCCCATTGGGTATCTCACTACACCCCCATATGCCATGTCTTTAAATACTGTATGCAGACAGACGGATTAAAAGTAAGTTTACATTGTAATACTTCTGACAGACAACTTTCTAGCTCTGCCCATAACTTTTGGATTTTATAGCATTCCTAGAAGGCATGGATTATTGAGTCAGTGTTAGTTTTACACTTAAGACATGACTCTGCCGTTGTGCTGTAGAATTTGTGAATTTTGTCTCTTGTATAATAAATTCTATACATTAATTTATACTGGATTAAGCGTACATTTTCGTTAACTGTAAAATTATGCTCCAACATTCCCTCTATCTTTTGCCAACATCAGTTCTTTTTAAGTCTTGGTTCCAATAGTTTATATATTTTTTAAGAGACTGTCAGTTGAATATGCTCTCTGCAAGGTTTTGTATATCTTACCTATAGGTAAGTATTTTAATGTGTGTATGAGTGTATTCTTTGAAATTGGTTTCATTTCAATATGTATGTTTATATACTTGAGTCTTTCTGTGGTGTCTGAACACGATCCCCCCCCTCCAGTCACCACATGGTACGGCCCACTTGTTGACTCCCTACAGACAGAACTGATGGGAAGGGGAAATGGATTCCAGATCGGGGGGAGATTATAGATTATAGGCAGGGTTAAATCAGTCTGTGCTAGTGTAGATTTGAACGTTTTAGCATCCATCTAATAGGGATGTACAGATGTAGGATCTTCATTTGATCACCCTGTTGCAGGACATTTAAAACTTGTAGCGTATTTGAGGTTTAAAAAGGCTTCTGAAGTTTGTAATTTCTACTTTGAACATTTCAGACTCGATTTTCCCACAAAAGGGAATCAACAGAATCAACCCCCACAAAATAATTCCATTAATTATAATCCACATAATAATTCAAATTTCCTGTTGTTGCAGGATTATTTTCCTGCTGTAGTAAACTGTCTTAAATTAAGATCCTACATGTGAAGCACTAGAGAACATCTAAGTGAACCCAGACAGTAGTTTAAGCTGCCTGAAGGCTCTGAGTGGATACTATGCATGAGTGCGTGTGTGTGTGTGTGTGTGTGTGTGTGTGTGTGTGTGTGTGAGCTCTAGGCTCTACTCATAACACAGAGTACTCAGGTAGAGAGAGCCCCTCCAGCACTGTCACACGGACACACACACACACATACGTAGTGTCATCTGCATCCTATAACGACTGTCTGCTGTGCTGACTATGGGTGGGAGATGGGGCGTCAAGCTTCATGCATGAAGAGGTCAGTCTAAACAGCAACAGAGACCACTCTCTCTCCCTCTCTGCCTCATGCCAAATAGGGCTCTATGTGTTCCCAGAGAGGACCCCATGTGTCTCTGCCTCGTGTGTGTGTGTGGAGTCACGCCACATTACCTTCTAGCCCCCCACCAAGCCTTAGGTTACAGGCCACAGGGATAATGAGCCAAACAGAGCTTAACCACTGGCTTTGGTTTCTTTCTTAGTTGTTAAAAGTTTTGACAATACTTTGTAGTTCATGTTTTGTTTTTTGTCTTTGGTATGTTATTCTCATAACATAAGACCATTGTTCTTCACCTATTGTTATTATCTGCACTACAACTAGCTTAGCGTGCCACACCACTGGTCAATACTACTGTAGGCCTAGTCTCCAACTGTTCTCTCTCCACTGGTCAATACTACTGTAGGACTAGTCTCCAACTGTTCTCCTCCACTGTCAATACTACGTAGGCCTAGTCCTCCCAACTGTTCTCTCTCCACTGGTCAATCCTACTGTAGGCCTAGTCTCCAACTATTCTCTCTCCACTGGCCAATACTACTGTAGGCCTAGTCTCCAACTGTTCTCTCTCCACAGGTCAATACTACTGTAGGCCTAGTCTCCAACTGTTCTTCTCTCCACTGGTCAATCCTACTGAAAAGGCCTTTCCCAACGTTCTCTCTCCCGGGTTCAAACATGTAGGGCCTAGTCCCCAAACTTTTCCCCTCCCCGGTAAATCCAACTGTAGGCCAGTCCCCAAACTGTTCTCTCCCCCACTGGTAAATATACTGTAGGCAGTCAAAAACTTTTTCTCTCACCACTGGTCAATATTTACGTGGGCCCCAGTCTCCAACGTTCTCCTCCATTTGGCAATCCAAACTGGGGCCTATCCCCAAACTTTTCTCCCCCCCACGGGCCCAAAATACACTGTGGGCCTAGTCCCCACTGTTCCCCTCCCACGGCCCAATACACTTTTGGCCTAGCCCAAAAAGGGGGTTCTCTCTCCCGGGGGGCCAATACACTGGGGCCTACTCCAACATTTTCTGGGGCCCCACGGGGAAAACCCCTTGGGCCCTACCCCCACGGGGTTCTCGCCCCACGGGGAAATACTACTGTGGGCCATTCCCCAACCTGTTCTCTCTCCGGGGGGCCAATACACTGAAAGGCCCTGTCCCAACGGGCCTCCCCTGGCAATCTTTTAAAAGGCCACCCAACGGTTTCCTCCCACGGCCCCAATCTACGGTACCTGGGCCCCCAAACCTTTCTCCTCCCCACTGGTCAAACTACTGTGGCAGTCCCCAAAGGGGCCCTCTCTCCACGGGGAAAACCCTGGGGGTGGGACTACCCCCAAACTTTCCCCCAAAACCACTGGTAAATACTACGAAACATGGTCCCCCAAACCTGTTTTTCTCCCCTGGCCCTTACTAAACTGGGGGGGCCCTAGTCCCCAAACTTTTTCTCTCCCACCGGTCAAACAAAGGGGGCCAGTCCCCCAATTTTTTTCCCTCCCGGGGGGCAATACTACGGGGGGCCCTAGTCCCGGGGGCCCCCCCTCCCACGGGAAATACTACGGGGGGCCTAGTCCCCCAATTTGGTTCTCTCTCCACTCCCAATCACGGGTGGGCCTAGTCCCCCAACTGCCCCCCACGGGGAAAACACGGGGGGGCCCAGTCCCAACTTTTTTCCCCTCTCCCACGGGCCCAATACTCCTTTTGGGGCCAGTCTCCAATTTTTTTCCCTCCACGGGCAAACCCCTGGGGGGCCCTGGGCCCACGGGTTCCCCCGGGGGGTCAATACAAACTTTGGCCTATCCCCAAACTTTCTCTCTCCCGGGGCACTACAAACGTCCCTACCCCCCAACTGTTCTCTCTCCACGGGGCAACTCTAAAAGGCCTATCTCCACGTTCTCTCCCCCGGGGGCAATACTACTGTAGGCCTGTCCCAACTTTTTCTCTCTCCCAACGGGTAAAATACGACGGTAGGACGGGCCTCCAACTTTTCCCCCACCCACGGGTCAAAAACTACTGAAAGCAGGGTCCCAAAAAGGGGGTTCCTCTCCACGGGCCCCCAATACCGGGAGGCGGGTCCCACTTTTCCTCCCCACCAGGCAATACTACTGTAGGCCGGGCCCCCCACGGTTCTCCCCACATTTAAATACATTTTGGGGCCTAGTCCCCCCAAACCCCTTTTGCCCCTCTCCACGGGCCCAATCCACTTTAGACCAAAGTCCCCAAACTGTTCCTCCCCCACTGGCCAATACTACGTGGCCTAGCCTCCAACTTTTTCCTCTCCACGGGTCAATACTACGTGGGCCTAGTTTTCCAAACGGTTCTCCCTCCCCTGGAAATTTAAAAATGGGGGGCCTAGTCCCCAAACTTTTTCCCCCCGGGGAAAACCAACGGGAGCCATTCCCCCAATTTTTTTCCCGCCCCCACGGTTTCAAAACTACTGTGGGGGCCCCAGTCCCCCAAGGGGGTTCCTCCCCCACTGGTCAAAAACTACGGGAACCCATTTTCCAAAGGGGGTTCCTCTCCCCCGGGGCCAATACTACGGTGGGCCCAGTCCCCAACTTTTTCTCCCTCCCAGGGCCAATACACGGAAAGGCCTAGTCCCCCAAACATTCTCTCCCCCGGGGCCAAACATGAGGCCTGTCCCAACTTTCCTCCACGGGCCCAATACACTTGGCCTGTCCCCAAAGGGGGTCTTTTTCCCCGGGGGTCAAAAACAAACCCCCGGTGGGCCCCAGTCCCCCAACGGTTCTCCCCCAAAGGTCAATACTACGGGTGGGCCTATCTCCAACTTTTCCCTTTTCCCCCACTGGTAAAAATCTACTGAAAGGCCAGTCTCCAACTGTTCCCTCCACGGCCAATACCTGTCCCTAGTCCCCAAAGGGGCTCGTTTCCACGGGTAACTACTGTGGGCCATCTCCAACTGTTCTCTCCCATGGTCAATATACTGAGGCCTAGTCCCCAAACTGTTTTTCCCCTCCCGGTCAATACTACTGTGGGCCCTATTTCCCCAACTTTTTCTCTCTCCATGGTCAATACACTGAAGGCCTGTCCCAAAATGTTCTCTCTCCACTGTAAATCTACTGTACCCCTAGTCCCCAATGTTCTCCTCCATGGTCAAAAACCTGTGATAGCCCCCAACGTTCTCTAAACCCTGGTCTACTATGTGGCATGGTCCCAACTTTTCTCTCTCCACGGTCAATCTCTAGGCAGGTCTCCAACGTTTCCTCCCCAGGTCTTACTTTGGCCTGGGCCCAACTTTTCCTCCCCAAAAGTCATACTACTGAGGCCTATCTCCAACTATTCTCCTCCACGGTAAATACTATGTAGCCAGTCTCCAATGTTCTTTTCCACTGGTCAATACTACTGTAGGCCTATCCCCAAACTGTTCCCCTCTCCCGGTCAAATATACGTAGGCCTACCCTCCAATGTTCTCTCTCCCCATGGTCAAAATTTACTTAGGCCTAGTCCCAACTGCTTTTCCCTGTAATACTACTGGGGCCTAGTCCCAAAACTGTTCTCTCTCCACTGGTCAATATAGTGGGCCTAGTCCCAAAACTTTTTTCTCTCCCCCTGGTCAATACTACTGTAGGCTAGTCTCCAACTGTTCTTCACCAGGGTCAATACTACTGGGGCAGGGCCCCCAATGTTCTTTTTCCCAATTCAAATCTACGTGGCTGGTCTCCCAATTTTTCTTCCCCACGGTAAATACACTGTAGGCCTATCCCCAAAACTTTTCTCTCTCCACAATCAATATACTTAGGCCTAGTTCCACGTTCTTTTTCCACGGGTTAAATACTCTGTAGGCCTATTTCCCCCAAATTCTCCTCCCACGGTCAATCTATGTAGGCCTGCCCCAATTTTTCTCTCCCCACTGGTCAATACCTGTGGCTAGTCTCCAATGTTCTCCTTCCACTGGTAAATACTACTGTAGGCCTTATTTCCCTTTTCTTCTCCACTGGTCAATACTAGTGGGCCTAGCCCTAACTGTTCCCTCCCTGGTCAATACACTGTGGGATGGCCTCCAACTGTTCTCTCACCATGGTCAATACTCTGGGCAGGTCTCCAACTTTTCCTCTCCACCAATCTACGGGGCATGGTCCCCAAACTTTCTCTCTCCACGGGTCAAATACTATGTAGGCCTAGTTCCAACGTTCCCCCTCTCCACAGGTCAATACTACTGTGGCCTATCCCCAACTTCTCTCTCCAGGGGTCAATACACTGTGGCCTAGTCTCCAACTGTTCTCTCCCAAGGGCCAAACTACGTAGGCCTAGCCCCCAAATGTTCTTCTCCCTGGTCAATAAACGTGGCCTAGTCCCCAAAACGTTTCTCTCCCAAGGTCAATATATTTAAAGGGGCCTAGTCTCCAACTATTCCTCTCCACGGCCCAAACTACGAGGCCAGCCCTCCAATTTTCCTCTCCACTGGCCATACTACGTAGGACTAGTCTCCAACTGTTCTCTCTCCCGGGTCAATACTAGTAGGCCAGTCCCCAACTGTTTCTCTCCATGGCCCAAATATACTGTGGGCCTTCTCCAATTTCCTCTCCAGGGTCAATACCGTAGGCCTAGCTAAAACTTTTTCTCTCCCCCTGGTCAATACTATTCCCTTTCCCCAACGTTCCTCTCCCTGGTCAATACTACTTAGGCCTAGTCCCACTTTTCTCTCTCCACTGGTAAATACTACGTAGGCTATCTCCAACGTTCTCCTTTCCAGGCAATACTATGTAGGCCTAGTCTCCACGTTCTCTCTCACGGGTCAATATACTGTGGGACTAGTCTCCAACTTTTCACCACGGCCAATACTACTGTAGGATGGCTCCCAACTGTTCTCTCTCCAAGGGTAAATATATGTAGGCAGGTCCCCAAATTTCTCTCTCCACAGGTCAATCTCCTGTAGGCCAGTTCCAACTTTTCTCTCTCCACGGGTAAATCACGTGGGGCCTGTTCCAACTATTCTCTCTCCACTGGTCAATACTCTGTAGGCCTGTCCCAAACTGTTTCCTCTCCATGGCCATCTACTGTGGGGCCTATCCCAAACTGTTCTCTCTCCAGGGTCAATACACTGTAGGCCAGTCTAAAACTGTTTCTCTCCATGGTAAAACTACTTTAGCCCCAGTCCTCCCTTTTTCTCTTCTCCACGGTCAAAAACTAGTAGGCCTGTCCCCAAACTGTTTCTCTCCCACGGGTCAATACAAAATGTGGGCCTGTCTCCCCCCTTTCTCTCTCCATGGTCAATACTCGTAGGCCTAGTCTCCAACTGTTCTCTCTCCACTGGTCAATACTACTTAGGCCTATCCCCAAAACTGTCCTCTCCACTGGCCAAACTACTGTGGCCTTTTCCCCCAACTTTTCCCTCTCCCAGGGTCATATATTAGCTGTCTCCAACTTTTTCTCCTCCACTGGTCAATACTATTGTAGGACAGTCTCCAACTTTCTCCCACCACGGGTCAATACTACTGTAGGCAGGGTCCCCAAACTTTTCTTCTCCAAGGTAAATACTACTGAGGCTTGGTCTCCAATGTTCTCTCCCCACAGGTCAATACTACTGTAGGCCTAGTCCCCAAACTGTTCTCTCTCCCAGGTAAAATACTACTGAGGCCTAGTCTCCAATTTTTTCTCCCCACGGGGTCAATACACGAGGCCATTCCCCAAACTATCTCTCTCCACGGGTAAAATACTCTGTAGGCCTTTCTCCAACGTTCCCCTCTCCATGGCCAATACTACTGTGGGCCCTATCTAAAAACCTGTTCTCTCTCCATGGTAAAACACTGTAGGCCTATCCCCAACTGTTCTCTCTCCCGGGTTTCAATCTATGAGGCCTAGTTCCAACTATTCTCTCTCCCTGGTAAATACTACTGTCCCTATCCCCAAACTGTTTTCTCCACTGGCCAAACACTGTAGGCCGCCTCCAATGTTCTCTCCCCCCGGGTCAATATACTGGGGCCTACCCTCCAACTTTTCTCTCTCCAGGGTCAATCCCGTGGGCCCTACCCCCAAACTTTTCCCCTCTCCACGGGTTCAAAAAACCTGTGCCTATCCCAAACATTCCCCTCTCCATGGAAATATATTTAGCCTAGCCCCAAGTTCTCCCCCCCGGGCCCAATACTACTGT